ATGAGGACATCTGAAAAATAAATATGAAATAAATAAATATGTGAATCGGAGAAAATTTAGATATATCTCCCATATATATTTAAAATATATTTCAATTTAGTTATAAGTCTCATATCATTTCTTCCGATGAAAATGTGAAGATTTTTATCCCCAACAGAAGTTTAAAATATCTTGGCTAACATTAGATCTTCACATAAAATAATTAAAAAAATTTAAACTTAGCTATGATCTCCAAAAAATAATATTTAAAACATCTACAGTTGTTATGGCCTCCAAAATATAATATTTAATAATCTAAGCTTATCTATGATCTCCAAAAAAAAATAATATTTAAAACATCTACGCTTAGCTATAGCCTCGAGTGAGTAGCGTCCTCTTAAGCATGGTGCTAAAATCTTAATCAGGTGTCCTGATAATTGTAATGGAAAACTTCCTAAATTATTTCATTGCTAAATAATTTAAGTGGGCCCCTGATTCAATGTTTCTCCTGGACTATATTTCGGAATTAGCCATGTCGATTATTTAACTGGATTTGAAATTAAATCCTTAGAACTATAAATGTGCAACTTTCTTATTAAATCTTGTTCGACCTAAATAGCTTATCATTTTAAATAGCACTATAAAATAGGTATAAATAATTGTACCTTCTCGTAGTCATCAGACACAAATTATCTATACAAACATTATTATGTGAAAATTCCCTATTGATAAGAAATGGGCGTAACCAAAGAACAAGCCTCCAAAATCAGAGGTTGTAACACAAACTGAAGAGTTCCAAGGTATCATCAGCAGACATTTCTGTAATTATGCTTAGAGATCACATCCTGTATACACATGTCATGTGCTATTTTTTGTGTGTTGATTGTGATATTTTTTTCCAAAAGCAAAATAAAATTGTCAACAGCAACTGACGTAGACAACAATCTACTGGTCAAAGTCCATTTAGTTATTTTTGTTTTCATAGACGACCGGTGTTTTAAAATTCCATTAGTGCGCATAATTTATGAAACTAATAAAATCTGTCTACAAAACATCCAACCAACCTCAAATGCGTATTCCTTTTTGCCCGTTTGGGCAGCAGCCACACTGGATCCATAACCACTGGAATGTGCTGGACATTTACACCTAATAAAGGATCGGGCAATTAATTCGATGATTATTTAGTATATTTCAAATAAACCGGACTTACGTGCTGCCAACGACAGTATTTAATAGATTCAAAACATTTTTCCGTGACATACTGACTGTTGTGACCGGTACTTCTATTCTTGACTAACTAATGTTTACTTCTGCAGTGTCTACGTTCCAAGACCGTGGATGTTTAAAAACTCTTCTTCGACTGTGTGTCTACGTTCCATTTTTATGTAGGTAAATGATAACGCACAGATCTTTGGCCAGCTGTTAAAACCAAAATAAACAGAGAGAGAGGAAGAATTGAAGAGATCATGAAACAAAAGGGGAAAGGGAGAGCGAGAGAGAGTTGAGTGTAGTTAGTGATGCTAATTTGGCGTTTTTAAGTTATGGTTTTATACCACGTCAACTTGTGGAATTTCTACAAGCATTTCTATTAGTGTTAGGTCTGTTCGTTTATCTTTACATTGAATATTCTGTGTATAAAGATTACGCTATCAATGAAAAATAATGCTAATATGAGAGCAGAGCAAAAAGGAAGGTATTCTTCAAAAAATCTTTGCTTAGTTATAGTCTCCAAAAATATTATTTTTTAAAACTATTCTTAGCTAGGACCTCAAAAATTATTCTTTAAAAAGTATTCCAAAAATATTCCTTAAAAAATCTACGCTAAGCTATGGTCTTCAAAAAAACATTCTTTAGAAAAAATACGCTTAGCTATGGTCTCCCAAAACTATTTTTTATAAAATCTACGTTTAGTTGTGGTCTCCAAAAAGGTGGCTATATGTAGTATTCAAAAAATATTTCCGATTTGACTGACAAAATTACTTGCTACATGTTACTAACCTTTATCTATCCCTTCTCATTTTCTAGATCATAAAAAAATCTTCATAATGGCTGAATATGATTTATCATTTAAATTCAACGACGATGATGATGATAATGATATGGACTACAATAATGATTTTGCTGATTTCATTGGTGATATGCAAGATTTTGAAGCTATGTGGCAAGATATTGGTGAAGAAATCCACCAAAAAGAAGAAAATGAACGATTTCAGAAAATGTTCCACCAACAGCTGTTCATATCGGAAGGCTTTGAAAGATCAACGTTTGAACGATATATTTAAATATTTATTAATTAGCTATATATATTTTATTTAAACGTATTATTTTGTTCTCTTATTATTATTATTATATTTTTAGATTTATGACTTTTTTAATTTAACTTAAATATTTGTAAGCATTTAAAAAACGAAACACACATTAATTGGTTTATTTAAATTGAAACTGTACTGTGATAAAAAAAAGTTCCTTGTATAATTCACATAGCTGTGATATAATTAAAAAAAAACTAAATACAATATATTTGCATGTAAGCAATGTAATTTTGGTTATCATTTATATAACGATTTGTTATGTTATGATGGATTTATAAACAAAACCTTTCCTGAAATTAATAATCGTTTTATCGATTTTTTATCATTTACCGATCGTTTTGTTATTTTTGAAATCTTCGTTTAAAATAACACGTATTGTCTATATAACTATTAAATAATTTATTTTATTATTATAATTTAAATTCAAACGATCGCATATGCATATGAACCACACACATATAATTCTATTTTTGTATTGAAATACTTTCTAAAAATTAAATAAAACAGGAACGCAGTTTTAAAAGTACATATTTCAAACTTAAGTTAAACTTCTTATTAACTTAAGATTCTGAAGATTTTTCTGTTATTGTAAATATATAAATTGTTATTATTCATTAATTATGTATTGCTTATATTTATATAAGTATAATTTTAATTAAAAAAATCTTCAAACGATTAAAAAAATAAAAAAAAAACATTTTATATAAAAAAATTTTAATTGCATTTCAATTTTTTGAGACCATAACTGTGCTAATATTTATTTGCGTAATTTTTTGTGCGTAATTTTTTTTAACTAAGTGTAGATTTTTTAAAGAATATTTTTTAGACCAAATCTAAGCATAATTCTTTTAAAAAATATATTTTTTGGAGATTGTGAATACTTACTTTTCATTTTTCCTTATAAATTAAAACCACACATATTGTTTTAAACTTTTTGGAAGTTGAATTATGTTACACTTTATTGTTTTTATTATTATAATTTTAATAATTCTTTTTTTTCCTTTTTTCTTTACAAAAAGAACAAAACAATTGAAGGAAAATAAATGAAGAAGGCTTCCAAAAAGCATAAAATTATAACTATAATTAATTATAATAAAAAATATATTTATGTGATATACGTTATTTTTCAAAACGTTTAAGATAATATGTTTAGAACTAGGGAAGTAGTGGGAGAGTGTGATATGTACTATATTAATTTTTTTTTATTAAATTATTATAAAATATATATTTTATACAGCTAAAAACAACTTTTGGAATAGAATGTTGAAGGATAAAATAGAATTACAGTTGTGTGATCAGCTGATTATTAATGTGGTATTCATGTATTTCAGATTATCGAATGATTAAAAGACTTTGAACAGCTGTTAGAAAGTATTTCAGTTTTCGTCAAGTTGTCATATGAACATTAAGCTTTGAACAGCTGTTTGATGGATCAGCTGATTGTGCTGCCTATTGGTTTTAATACAATTGAATGAAATTATATCTTTGATATGAAGTAGTGATATTTATTAGCAAAAGATTTTAAATTATTAATTTTCAATTTGATTTGAAGTGATATTACTACCAACCAAAACTGATGGCACTTGGAAGCAAAGAATTTTGGTGGTATATTAAATCGAATGTCTATCTGAGACTAAATGCATTTTATTAAAAAAAGTTTGATAGGAAAGATTTAGCTGTTTACGAATATTTAGAAAACTTAGTCATTTTATATAAAATTTTGTCCAGAAATAACAAAATTAAATAAAATGAACTAAGTACGAATTATGATCAATTTTTATGGGGACCATCATTAGCTATACAATACAATAGGAAAGTGGTTTTATTCAGAGTGGAAATTTTGAAGTTATTACCTATAGAAATCCATTAGTATGTGTGGGATTAAAAAATTATATTTATTAAAGAATGGTATAAAATGGGGAAATAAAAACGAAATTCATTTTCAAAAAATGTATTAGATATGATAAAATTTAAAACAAATTTCAAATAGTATTTTCCTGTAGGTTCTAGAAAATACAATTTATGGCATTGACAAATCCATGCTGTTGAAAAAATCTGTTAACTGGCATAAAAAATCCATGGAATATTTTTTTCGAAAATGAAACTCTGCTCTACAGACCTTATAGGAGAAAAGTGTATTATGTTTACGTCGATCTATATATCCCTATCTTTAAACAGTTGTGGAATAATGTAAACAGACATGTCGTTTTGTGTTGGTGTTGGATTTTGTTTTATTTTTTATGTTTTCTTGGAATTCTCTTGGAAAAAATATAGTTAATAACTCTCAATCTTAACTTATTACATATTAATTATTTAATTTATATATGGTTGTTGTTTTTGTTTTATAAAATATTATTTATATATATATATAAACGCTAAAATAAACTCTCATCAAAGTTTAGTAGTTGAAAATAAAAAAAAGAAAAATAATTGGGAATTAATTTTTTTGGGGGGATTTTATTTTCTCCCTGGAAATGCTAACTTGATTTGTAAAATACTTTATTTTTGTCTTGTTTAAGTTAACTTTTGTTGTTGTCTTTTTTTTTAAATATAATAAATCTACAAATAAAAATTAAAAAAAAAAAAATGAAGAAAAACTCTAAACCTCTGTTGGGAAAAGTTTCGGCTAACGCTAACATTATGTGCCTTGTTTTTGTTTGTCTTATAGAGTCTTCTCAAGCCTATCATTTAACACGCCTCTGCTTTCTTCCTATATCTCCCTCGTTAGCTGCCTATTTTTTGCATTTAGGCACTGCTAATCGGTGCATATCGATGTACTTTGGGCTGTTTAGGCTCTTTGGGTGGCACAATATCCTCGGAAAGCTTCTGATAGACTATGGAATTATTACGAGCCTGCAACAATGACATACGATAACGTTCGCCACGTTTACGCATAATCATCGATACAACCTTGGCAATGGCCAAGAGAACGATCAGCACACAGGTAACAATAATAATGACAGGGACAAAGAAGCCGTAACCACCATAATAGATGCGTCCACGTTCAATGATACGTTCTTCATATTCATCATCATCGTCGTCGTCATCATCTTCATCGTCCTCCTCTTCGCTGTAGTGTTTGCGTTTAACATTGATGAGTTTGTCTAAATGGAGGAAGAGAGAGAGAAACAAATAATTAATAAAAAGGAACTGAATGGGTCTTTGAAAGTAAGCGGAATTCGGACCAAAACTGAAGACCAATTGGTATTCATAAAGATCTGTATTGAGACCAAATGGTTTTTATAAAGACCTGTGGTCTGTATAGCGACCAATTGGTCTTTATAAAGACCAGTGGTCTGTATATACACCAATTGGTAAAGACCTGTGGTCTGTATAGAGATCAATTGGTCTTTATAAAGACCTGTGGTCTGTATAGAGATCAATTGGTCTTTATAAAGACCTGTGGTCTGTATAGAGACCAATTGGTCTTTATAAAGACCTGTGGTCTGTATAGAGACCAATTGGTCTTTATAAAGACCTGTGGTCTGTATAGAGACCAATTGGTCTTTATAAAGACCTGTGGTCTGTATAGATACCAATTGGTCTTTATAAAGACCTGTGGACTGTATAGAGACCAATTGGTCTTTATAAAGATCTGTGGTCTGTATAGCGACCAATTGGTCTTTATAAAGACCTGTGGTCTGTATAGAGACCAATTGGTCTTTATAAAGACCTGTGGTCTGTATAGAGACCAATTGGTTTTTATAAAGACCTGTGGTCTGTATAGACCCCTATGGTCTGTATAGAGACTAAATGGTCTTTATAAAGGCCTGTGGTTTGTATTAGAGATCAAATATTCTTTTTAAAGTACTGTGGTCAGAATAGATAGAAAAATATAAAAATTACACTTACTCAACAAACGATCATCTCTGGTTTCCTTCTCCAAATCTACTTCTTCAACACGAATACCATGATCCTTGATATTCTTAGAAATGTCAGCCTTCTTATTGTAATCATCGTAGATTTCATCATCCTCCTCATCGTCTTCAGTGTTATCATCCTCTTCATCATCATAGTTACTTTCATCATCGACATTATCTTCCTTTTCCAGTTCTTCTTCCGAATTGTTGTTCTTAGCATTGAAATCATCAATATTGTCATCATTGCGGCTATTACCATCATGGAATGATTTACGAGAATCTCTCATAATCTTATCCAAACGTCTCTTCTCCATAATGCTCAACAAATTCTTGACATCATCATCCAAATCCTTGTCATTCTCTTCCAGACGTTCTTCAATCTTATCTTCACCCAAATTCTTTTTGTGCGAGAAATCTTCATGTTTGCACACTTCATGGGCCAAAGCGGACCAGCCAGCCTGTGCCTGATGTTGCAACACACTACTATCACTATCCAAATTCTCCAAGCTTTGCATTTTGTGTGGCATCATTTGGGTATTCAACGAGACATAGCTGATGAAATCTTGGAAATCTTCGTTACACTTCAAGGGGTTCATGGTGATGTCCAAGCTTCTCAAATTCTTGAACTGGCGGACATCACTGGAGTGGATCTTGTGGATTTGATTGGAGGAGACATTGAACGAGCGGAGGGTTTCATAGAATTTGTATTTGCGTCCAACGCCATATTGATTGTCAACCAACAGGGTCTTCAATTCACAATCGCTGACATCCAATTCACGCAATTTGTTCAATGGCAAGAATAGGCGGACGGACAACTTGTGGATGGGATTGCCGGCCAAATTCAACTTGGACAAATCGTTGTTGTTCATAAAGATCAGCTCATCCAGTTTGGCAATGAGGTTATTGCTCAAATCCAAATCGACCAATTTTTTGAGGTTGGCAAAGGTATCACGATCCAAATTGTTGATATTGTTCCAGGCCAATTTCAAAGTGGCCAAGTGGGGCATTGTCGAGAAAGTTCTGTGGCCCAAAGAGCTAATGGCACAATTGGAGATATCGAAATAGTAGACAGTGAAATAGCCATTGTAGCTGCGGAAACCATCGGTGGGCAATTGGCTCAAACGGGGATTGTCATTCAAACGGATAACATCCAATTCGGAATTCTTGTAGAACATCATGCTGGAAACCTGTTCCAATTCGTTGATGGACAAATCAATGTGACGCAAATTCTTGAGGGTCAAGAAGGAGTCGGGTTGGATTTTGGTCAAACCATTGCCTTTCAGATTCAAATTGGTCAGGCTGGACATTTTATCGAACATGCCATGATGGACGGTATGGATTTGATTGAAGCTCAAATCCAATTGTTGCAAATCGGAGGTACCAAAACGCAAATCATTGGAAATCGAGTTGTATTTCAAGTGCAAAATGGCCAAGGCGGTTTTATTGAAGATGGCAGGTGGTAATGTCTTCAACGAGTTATAGGACAAATCCAATTCTTCGATGGTATCAATGGTGTCGAAGACATGATCGGGAATCTTTTGCAAATTGTTTTGTGACAAATTAATGTAGATTACATTGGACAATTTGGAGAAGGCATTTGGGTTCAATTCCATGAGGTTGTTGCGTGACAAATCCAATTCCTCAATGCTGGAAGACTGCAATTAAAATTGATTTTTGATTTTATTTATAAATTTATTTAATGTTAGAATAACTTACGCTCAACAAATAGTGTACACTGGACATAATGCTCAAATCATTGCCTGAAATGGTCAGCATACGCAATTTCTTATTCTTGGCAAAGGTATCGGGATTGATAAGGGCCAAACCAACATTGGTCAAATTCACCGAGAACAAATCATCCAAACCATTGAAAGCCTCAGGATGCAAATATTCAATGGTACAGTTGGAGATCTTAATGGAGGATACGTGTTTCAGGCCCAGTTGCAAGAAGAAGTTGGGTCCCAAGAGAATGGGATATTTGGGTCCAACATCGGTGACAACCAAATCGGTGATGTCTTTACCGAATTTCTGGGTACCAGCATCGATGCTGAAAAATAAAATCAAATTTTATTTTTAGTTTTTTTTGTTTTCTTCGGCTTGGTATTCATTCTCATTAACTTACCGACTACAGTAGGCCACCAAATAGCTGTTAATATTACGTTCACACACACAATAGCGTGGGCATGGTACACTATCGGTATAGCTGGCATCATCATCATCGTCATTAATATCGTTTTCATTGTCGAATTCGTCATCATCTTCGTCATCGTAATTCTCATCGTCGTCCTCATCATCGTCCTGATCGTTGACATTCAAGGTATTGTCATTGTGGAATTCAATGGTATTCGATTCTTTGTTGCTGTCGTCGAGGCTAGGATTAACTGTGGAGGTCTGTAAATAAATTTAAAATAAATTTCAATTATTTTAAAATATTTTTTTGAAGAAAATTATTTATTTTTTTGTGTGTTGCGTAGCCTTACCTTGGTTTCTCCCTTCATCACCTTTGTCTCAATTGGCTTCTTTTGCAATTTTGGCATTGCGGTGGTCAATTTCTCCTTATTCTTGGATTTCTTGGTGGCTGCTGTGGTGGTATCATCATAATTATACTCATCATCATAGTCATAATTATCATCATAATTGTCATCGTAAGTATCATCCGAAGTTGGCTTAGCAGTTGTTGTTGTAGTCGATGTGGTACTATTCAATTTTTTGCCCACAAGTTTTTGGAATCTGAAATGAGGCAAAGAAAAAGTAAAATTAAATATTGTTCTTTGTTAAATGAATTAAAAGTTTTAATTTTTTGGTAAAATGTTTCTAAACGATTCGAAGATTTTTTAACCCTAATTCTCCAAATTTCTTATATTACCATCCCTTGCTTTCTTTCCCCTCTTTATCACTACTAATTCTCAAAAATATATCTCTCACCTTTCATCCTTATTCAATGCTTCATAATGCTTGGCGGCCTCAACCAAATCATTGATGGTATTATCGCTAAGAGTTTTCTGGGTGGTTGCCGCTGAAGAACTTTCACTCTTCGAACTGGTTGTGGATGCCACAACAGGTACTTCCTTAACTTTCGGTGTTGAAATGCGTATATGTTGTCTCTCTGGTTCATTTACCAAAATATCATCATTCAAATCCAATTGATCATCGGGTACATCATCGTGAACAATATTCAATGAACTGGAGACGGCTACATGGCAGACCCCTATTGAGAGGAGTAAGAGTAGCACCAGTCTGGACTGGCGTGACATGGTGTGATGGGTGGTGGACTAAAAAATAATTAAAAAGAAGGGAGAACAATTAAAAATATTATAAAGAGAATGTGTACAATGTAAAAATTTCGTGGGAAAAATATTCCCGAGAGGGAAATTCTCCCAAACAATCAAATCTCCTATTAATACCTCTCCCTATGAATTAATCAAATAAATCCTTACCATTAATACCTTCCACTAAACCGTCAACCTCAAACAAGCTTGTCGTACTAATATCAGCTAAAGCTGTGTATCAATTTGCCATAGCGTTATATTTGTCCTTTTTAATTGAATAGCAAGCATTGTTATTGTGATTTTTTGCGCCCTCTCTCTCTCTCTCTTGCTTTCCATATCTTTATGAAATTGAAACAATATTTTATCTCGAGTAAATAAAATTAAATGTTATCTTCTGAGTCGGTTGGTATTTTTCTATACTATAGACGATAAGATAAAATAAAACCTCAATGTATTTACGTTTGAATGTATATATATGTGGTATTATTATTTCAATGAATCGACAGATATCAGAGGTGGAAGAGTGTTGAAAACAGTACTCGGATACTATAAATATAGCTCTGGGTTAAACGAGAAATGCAGGCATATTGGTGGACTCTTAGAAATATGTTTTACAAATTTCACGCATATTCGCAGTTTTTAGCTACTTATTTTTCTTTTTCAAATAATTTTCCAAAATTAATAATAAATTAAAATTTCCAGTAAGGAAAGTTGAAAAGTCGGACGGTGCCGCCTATATGATACCCTTCACAACTTTGGGTACATACAAGAGATGCTCATATGTACAATATCGTTTAGATAGAATAGAGCATCGAACGAAATTAACTGTTTGAAGTTATAGATATCTGAACTAAATAACAAGTGAAAAGGCGTTAAGTTCGGTCGGGCCGAACTTTGGATACCCTCCATCATAGTTATACTGGCAGATACATGCAATGAAAATATAGGGAACATACCAAAAAGTGGGAATATACCGATAATTCTATAAACCGATTTATGTAAACCATTATGTACCCCAAATACAAACTTCAGCAATTTTTAATGGGGATTTTTCCTACAATCTGTAAGATCCAAAAAATCGACTGATACTGATAGAGTATAAAATCCTCAAACTACTGTAATTTAGATTGCAAAGGGTATGCCTAAAGGGGGACCAATATTGATTACATAGTGTTGGAAATTGTGAATATTTGGGGATATCATTATATGAGGGTTATGCCTAATTAATTTTTTATCACAATATCTTTAGAAGGCGGAATGCTTACAACAGATGGCTAAATAGTCTTTGTAAGGTAAAAATTACTATTCCCCGTAACGACTACCCAACCGCAACACACGAAACAAATCAGATAACTATTTTAATATAAAACGGGGGGTTATATGGGGACTACCCCTAAAAAGGGGTGAATATTAATAATTTTTGGTGGGGAGATTTTTTACCATATACGACTACAAAATACCAAATTGCAGCAAATTCGGTTGAAAAACGCTTTCAAGAACCCCAAAATACCGAAAATTGGGGGTAACCTTATATGGGGGCTATCTGAAAAAATGGACCTATATTTATAATTTTTTGTGGAGAGATTTGGTACCTATTAAGAACTCAAAATACTAAATTACAGCCAATTCGGTGGAAAAATACGATCAAAACCCCCAAAATACTGAAAATAGGTGGTACCGTTATATGGGGGCTACCAGAAAAAGTGGACCTATATTTATAATTTTTTGCGGAGACATTTAGTACCCAATAAGAACCCAATGTACCAAATTTCAGCTTATTCGGTTAAAAACCCCGCTCAAGAACCCCAAAATACCGAAAATTGGGGGGTACTATTATATGGGAGCTATGCCTAAACGTGGACCGATATATCCCATCTTCGAACTTGTCCTGCCTTCAGGCAAAAGACAAACCTATGCAAAATTTCAGCACCCTATCTCAATTCCTTCAGAAGGACGGACAGACGGACGGACATGGCTAGATCGCCTTAGAATTTTACCCTGACCAAGAATATATATACTTTATAGGGTCGGAAATGAATATTTCGATGATTACAAACGGAATGACAAAATTAATATACCCTCCATACTATGGTGGAGGGTATAAAAACAACAACCCATACAATTTATAAAATTTGAAAAAAAAATTGAATAATGAATCTAAATTTAATTTAAATCGATTTCAACAAAACTTCGCGGACGTCAACCTGAAGTAATTTCAATACGGATGTCAACATGTAGTAGCTTCATTACGATATGCACATTGACAGTATGGTGCACCATTTATATAAAATCGGACGAAACTGTAAATGGAGCTATATCGAAATCTAAACCGAGTCCAACGAAACTTCGCATACATAAATTTTGACCTAATTCAGTACGTTGTGCAAAAATTTGCCTAAATTTGACTCTTTAGAGTTCCATTTACATAAAATCGGACAAAACTATATATGAGAGCTATATCTAAATCTGAACCGATTTCCAAAAAACTTCCCATATATCAATCTAGACCTAATTCAGTACTCTACGCAAAAATTTGTCTCAATCGGACCAATATTGAGAGCTAATCGGACGAAAATATATATGGGAGCTATATCAAAATCGGAACCGATTTTCTAATTTCCAATTTCAATAGGGTTCGTTCTTTGTTCACAAAAATACATGGAAGGACGGATGGACGGACATGTATAAAGGGGCTCAAGAAGTGATTCCATGCATTATCTCAAAAGGAACCATTGGTCTATCTCGATTCCTTTTTCCTGTTACAAACATATGCACAAAGACATGTATTATGGCTTTACCACAGTGTGGCGAAGGGTATAAACAGGCATATATGATGTTCTATTTTTTTTTAATTTAGCATATTTGGACGTTTTAATTAAATTAAATTAAAAATAAATATTATTTATATTTTTTTCAAATTTTACGCTAACATAATTTTACGCTTTAAATTTACCCTAAAAAAATTTGTTTTTATTTCCAACATTGCCCATCTCTGATAGGTATTCACTTATATCTCTATGTATATAAAATGCCACTGCTGCTCTAGCAACAACAATTTATTATTTTGTTTAGTATATTATACATGAGTACATATACTTATATCACAAATGAGTTTTAAATAATTAAATGCGACAGAGCGAATATGCATGAATACAACAACCACATATATTTCACGTTTGGAGATATAATTAAATTATTTTTGTTTTACGAAATTTGGGAGACGTCAGAAACAAAATAGGTGACAAGGGATATAGTTATCAGAAAGTACAAAGGTTAGCTAAATCGATTAAATTATGACATAAATTTCGGAAAAGAAATAATTAATCGATTATTGATTGTATTTAAAAAAATAATAAACAAATCATTTTGCTATGATCAGGAATATTCCATTTTGGTAGTTGAGTCAGCAAAAATCCAAATGAAATTGAAAATAGTTTAGATTTTAGTGAAATATAAGATTGATAATTTGTGGAGATTTGATTTTATATTTAAGTCTTCCTTTTTATTTGTAGGCCTTTTGGAATTTTTTTAATAATACAAAAAATTCTTTTTGTTATAAAATTTTTATTTTTTTAATTAAAAATTCCAAAATAATATATCCCAGCGGCGCCTTTTGTCGATCTTCATTGAAAATGTCAAACCATGCGTATTGACAATGTATCAATGTTTCAATGTATGCCTATTGAATATTAATTAGTTCTAATTACTAATTAAATATAAATAGGAACACGTCGAAATCAAATTCCTAGCACCCAACAAAATATCTGACTACACGTTCTTTATAGAAAATATTAGAAAAATTAGTGTATATAATATTTTGTAGTTTATTACGTTGCTGTCTTACATATTAAATAATAACAAAAAGTAATAAATAAATAAAAAAATGACGTCTAAGACTATTTTTAAATTATTGAAATTTTCGAAACATCTCACGTTCATACAGCAAAACAAAGAACAACAACAATGCATAACCAATAATATTTGGCTTAAATATAATGTTTAACAAACACATTTATACAAATTTTAAATAAACTACAAGAACATAATAAAGGTGGGCATAAATTAATTAAACAGGGGCTCCCAAAATGGAAATTCAATATTTTTTCCCACTTCCTCATATTGAATTGAGATTTCGTTGACTAGTTGTAGTTCGAAATGAAAGCATGGGAATTAAGCAGGGTGCGCAATAATTCGCTTGCGAATGATTCAAAATACATTCTTTTCGTTTTGTGCTCATTTTACGAATGAATTTATGGCGATAAATTCTTTACAAAACGAGCATTCGCCAAAGATTTTTCG